GTCTATTTTTGTCTAAAAATTTTGTATCCAATCAAATCGGGGGGGGGGGGCAAGTGCCCCACCTTGCCCCTACCTGCGGGCGCCCATGGATGCTAGTGATACATTTGAATATTTTAACTTTAAGCTGATGTGATCGTTAGATTGGATGCTCAACGGGGCTACTGTGGTAACTTTTGAAGTTGATTGCTATGTGGTCCATGATGGCCATGGAGTCCACGTAAGCTTTGGGGGTCGATAAACTTCAGCGTTGAAGTTGAAATATTTTCACATTTAAATATTATTTATTCTTTAACATTTTTATTAAAATCTTGCTATAATAATATACTATTTTAATTTTGTATACCGGGTAGTTTTTGAGAGAGAGAGTAAGAGAGAGAGAGAAAGAGCGAGAAAGAGAGATAGAGAGAAAGAGAGAGAGAGAGAGAGAGAGAGAGAGAGAGAGAGAGAGAGAGCATGATTCAATTAAAATACAAAGGGAGAAAGTTCATAGGTTTCTTTAGCATTACCGGTAGCACAATTCCTGGTACCGGTAAGTGGTTGGTTTCTTCAGCATTAGCACGATTCCTGGTTAGTGGTAGGTTTCTTGAGCATTATCACAATTGCTGGTAGGTTTCTTTAGTATTAGCACAATTCCTGGTAGGTTTCTTTAGTATTAGCACAATTCCTGGTAGGTTTCTTTAGCATTAGCACAATTCCTGGTAGGTTTCTTTAGCATTAGCACAATTGCTGGTAGGTTTCTTTAGCATTATCACAATTGCTGGTAGGTTTCTTATGTATTAGCACAATTCCTGGTAGGTTTCTTTAGTATTAGCACAATTCCTGGTAGGTTTCTTTAGTATTAGCACAATTCCTGGTAGGTTTCTTTAGTATTAGCACAACTGCTGGTAGGTTTCTTTAGTATTAGCACAATTGCTGGTAGGTTTCTTTAGCATTAGCACAATTGCTGGTAGGTTTCTTTAGTATTAGCACAATTGCTAGTAGGTTTCTTTAGCATTAGCACGATTCCTGGTAGGTTTCTTTACATTAACACAATTGCTAGTAGATTTCTTTAGCATTAGCACAACTGCTGGTAGGTTTCTTTAGTATTAGCACAATTGCTGGTAGGTTTCTTTAGTATTAGCACAATTGCTAGTAGGTTTCTTTAGTATTAGCACAACTGCTGGTAGGTTTCTTTAGTATTAGCACAATTGCTGGTAGGTTTCTTTAGCATTAGCACAATTCCTGGTTAGCGGTAGGTTTCTTTAGTATTAGCACAATTGCTAGTAGGTTTCTTTAGTATTAGACAACTGCTGGTATGTTTCTTTAGTATTAGCACAATTGCTGGTAGGTTTCTTTGGCATTAGCACAATTCCTGGTAGATTTCTTTAGTATTAGCACAATTCCTGGTAAGTTTCTTTAGTATAAGCACACTTCCTGGTAGGTTTCTTTAGCATTAGCACAATTGCTGGTAGGTTTCTTTAGCATTAGCACAATTGCTGGTAGGTTTCTTTAGCATTTGCACAATTTCTGGTAGGTTTCTTTAGCATTAGCACAATTGCTGGTAGGTTTCTTTAACATTAGCACAATTGCTGGTAGGTTCTTTACATTAGCACAATTGCTGGTAGGTTTCTTTAGCATTAGCACAATTTCTGGTAGGTTTCTTCGGCACTAGCACAATTCCTGGTTAGTGGTAGGTCTCTTTAGCATTAGCACAATTTCTGGTAGTGGTAGGTCTCTCTAGCATTAGCACAATTCCTGGTAGGTTTCTTCGGCATTAGCACAATTCCTGGTAGGTTTCTTTGGCATTAGCACAATTCCTGGTAGGTTTCTTTAGCATTAGCACAATTCCTGGTAGGTTTCTTTAGCATTAGCACAATAGCTGGTAGGTTTCTTTAGCATTAGCACAATTTCTGGTAGTGGTAGGTTTCTTCGGCATTAGCACAATTGCTGGTAGTGGTAGGTTTCTTTAGTATTAGCACAATTGCTGGTAGGTTTCTTTAGCATTAGCACAACTGCTGGTAGGTTTCTTTAGCATTAGCACAATTGCTGGTAGGTTTCTTAAGCATTAGCACAACTGCTGGTAGGTTTCTTTAGCATTAGCACAACTGCTGGTAGGTTTCTTTAGTATTAGCACAATTGCTGGTAGGTTTCTTTTTCATTAGCACAATTCCTGGTAGATTTCTTTAGTATTAGCACAATTCCTGGTAAGTTTCTTTAGTATAAGCACACTTCCTGGTAGGTTTCTTTAGCATTAGCACAATTGCTGGTAGGTTTCTTTAGCATTAGCACAATTGCTGGTAGGTTTCTTTAGCATTTGCACAATTTCTGGTAGGTTTCTTTAGCATTAGCACAATTGCTGGTAGGTTTCTTTAACATTAGCACAATTGCTGGTAGGTTCTTTACATTAGCACAATTGCTGGTAGGTTTCTTTAGCATTAGCACAATTTCTGGTAGGTTTCTTCGGCACTAGCACAATTCCTGGTTAGTGGTAGGTCTCTTTAGCATTAGCACAATTTCTGGTAGTGGTAGGTCTCTCTAGCATTAGCACAATTCCTGGTAGGTTTCTTCGGCATTAGCACAATTCCTGGTAGGTTTCTTTGGCATTAGCACAATTCCTGGTAGGTTTCTTTAGCATTAGCACAATTCCTGGTAGGTTTCTTTAGCATTAGCACAATAGCTGGTAGGTTTCTTTAGCATTAGCACAATTTCTGGTAGTGGTAGGTTTCTTTGGCATTAGCACAATTGCTGGTAGTGGTAGGTTTCTTTAGTATTAGCACAATTGCTGGTAGGTTTCTTTAGCATTAGCACAATTGCTGGTAGGTTTCTTTAGCATTAACACAACTGCTGGTAGGTTTCTTTAGCATTAGAACAACTGCTGGTAGGTTTCTTTAGTATTAGCACAATTGCTAGTAGATTTCTTTAGCATTAGCACAATTGCTGGTAGGTTTCTTTAGCATTAGCACAACTGCTGGTAGGTTTCTTTAGCACTAGCGCAATTGCTGGTAGTGATAGGTTTCTTTAGCATTAGTGCAATTCTTGACGGATATGGTAAAAGGTGAGGGGGGGGGGGCGCACAACAAATGAACACCATAACGTATTATTAGAATTAGATAAGAGATTTCACTAGCTTTAACTCATGACTTATTTATAGTAATTGCAGTCCACACAATGAAATGTTTACCGTACTCTTTGAAATTTGTGTTCCGGACTTGAGAAACACAACTGCTTCATGTACAAGAGTGCGTGCAATCATGTTTGTAAAAGAAGAATACCGGTAACCAATATTATAATGGCAGGCAGCCTAGGGGGCTGCTCTGTGGATCATGGCTAATTTCCATAATGTTGACATTTCTATAGATACTCTATTGACATTCTATCAATCAATTCCATGGTGTCGCAGTGAACGTGAAATTCATCAGGTATACGGGATGTGGAGAAATGAGGGATGGACTTGAAGTGGGAGACGTTTTCAAAATTCAAGGGTTCATTTGTTTCACATACCGGTACTGAAC